CCCACAAGAGTGTCCCACAAGAGTGTCCCACAAGAGTGTCCCACAAGAGTGTCCCGCAAGAGTGTCCCACAAGAGTTTCCTACAAGAGTGACCCACAAGAGTGTCCCACAAGAGTGTCCCACAAGAGTGTCATTTGGACATACGTAGCTTTTTGAACGTGTTTGCATTCGGGTTCGTGGGCTTCATCTTGTTCATTTTTCAATAAGTTGGCAGAGTTCGGCCATACCAACTATAAAGCGGGTCTTAAATGCATGATCTATTTGGTTGACCACCCACTAATGAATTGACTCCGGCCCAACCCGAGTTCAATTTGAGTCTATAGACAGGAAGTGCAAAACTTGCCGTACTTGCATGTACTTGCGCAATCTTGCACATATATAGATCCCCATGATTGGCTTATGATCACACTACATGGACGCACTAACTTGAGCACCTGCTCGATCCAGTATTTGCACCAACAGCAGGTTGCCAAAGAGGTTCCCCTCTTGAAGGCACGGGAGGGATCGAACGGCTTTTGGTTGGTTTGTTCTGGGACTTGGGTGGTGGAAGACGCCGGCAGTCAGGCAGCACAGGAACTTGTTATGACTTGTTTGCCAGCCATTTGCGGCCTGGTTTGGACAGAGCTGAGAACTGCCATAGGTCAAACTCTTGGAACTGGTTGGATTGACGTGGATTGCCAAGGTTTACAGATGTTTACACTTTAGCTCGGGGAAGTTCAAAACGGGCTGATTCACACCAAAGTTCTCCTAGCAGCTGCAGGTCGCTAGGCATAATGGACCACTGCTCCAGTGAGAGGACTCCTAAGACACGTCTCGCTGCAACACGTTCTTCAACACCGACGGACGGAGGTGGATGTGAAGAAGATAGAAGAGCTGAAGGACTGGACGAAGGTCCTAGGTTTTGATAGGTTGGGCGGTCTTTGAGGATTGGAAGCCAATGGGAGCTCGACAATTGATGGTGCAATTGGTTGTTTGATGAGCGTCGTGTTTCATTGTTTTTACAGTGCAGGTTTTCCGTCACACTTGGATTTTGGGGGATCCTGGTCGTTTGGCGATTGATGATATTGATGTGTCCTTCTTGAAATCAATGTGGTTCAAATCAGGAAGTTCAACCCTGCAGCTGTTTTCTCTCCGTCACGACAGCATAACATGGATGGTAGTTCGAAGTGCTAGAAGCAATTGGAAACTTCACGCTGCTCATGGGTCAGCGGCCAAGACCTGTGGAAGACAGAGGCAAAATCTCTCCCTCTTCAAGTGCTGGATATCGTTCCGGGACCTCGTATCAAATAACGTTTTACGGCACTGCTGAGATTGATGCAATGAAAATCACACATGTTCCATTCAATGGGGCGGCCTTCAGGCAATAATTTAGTTACTTTTGTTTGGAGGTTCTGCCTCACATGATCTCTCACCTGTTCAGTAAGTGACGGCTCACCTGTTTGGCTGGAGGAGATCGCCAAGAAGGCCAAAGTGATCTTGAACTTCGCTGGCTCACCCTATGCAGACAAGGCGAGCTCGGGGATCCCGGCAAAAGGGAAAAATAGCTTTGGCGAGAGGCATACGGCGATACGGCTGGGGACGCAGCAACAGTGCAGTTTTTGTACTATTTTTTGCTGGGTTATGGGGATGGGTGGCGAGTCAACTCTGTTTCAAGGGCTATCCGGGATGATCCAGTATTCATTCTTTCTGGGAGGGTGTTTGCCCACATCTACAAATCCCATCAGACGCTGCCGCGCAAACGTTCTTGGTTCTCCAAGGCCCTGCCAGTGGTCGAAGCTTGCGCTTCCAATGGGTGCTGCTATGTCGCAGCTTGATATGCCAAAAGAAGTGGCATCTAAGGTCATGAGGCCCAAGAAGTAAACTCGAAAGCTTCTAGGTTCTAGAAGAAACTGTTCGCGAACGGCAGCTCCTTTGCATACGGAGAACTTGCCCCGTACCAATGAAGGCATGGCTACATGGAATGAAGATGCTCACCTCCAGCACATCCTATCACCAGATGATACCACATAGCGCCTTCCTGCTTCCCCCGCGGCTGCTCGCTCGCGCCGGGGGTCCGAGGACATCACGGGAGAGGCGCCCTTCGCGAAGACCTCGGCCGAGCTCTACGACGCCAAGGCCAAGGAGACCAAGTCCTTGAGCCTCGGAGGGCGGAAAGAAGCTAGGAGGAGAAGCTGGGAGTGCCCTTTCACCAATGTGGAGCTCAGCCAAGTTGTTTTTTGATTTTTATGCCTTGTTGTGTTGGCTTTGGTGGCGTTTTGTTGGTTTTCCTTGGCAATGGAGTTTTCATGAACATTTTCATAGGAAGCTCAGCTGCAAGGAGTGGAGTTGGGATCAGCTGCAGGAGAGATGGGTATGATTTCTTAGGGGGTGAGGTGGTTTTCCCTTGGATCTTGCCATTCTGTTCTGAGTTCTGGATCCACTGGGCCGTCAATGTCCCTTGGTGACTGGCCAAAAAGGGCCGGCTCAGTGTTCTGTTCCCCCTTTTTGGGACACTGGGAGGGTGCTTTGGTGGGCTAAGTGGACACCCAAGGATTCTGCACATGTGCGGCTTTGACAGCATCCCCTGCGACATCGCAGCCGCTTGCTGATCGCCTTTGTTGTGGGGGTTTGGGGTCGGGCCGTGAACACACGGGTCGCTTCAGAAAGGATTCGCTTGAGAAAGGGGGCAGCCTTAATGAAATTTCTACTGCCAGTACGTCTATAGCCTCTCAACTGAAGCCTGCTACTGCATGAGTGGGAGGTCCCGGAAAGTTCTTTGCAGTTCTTTCTCAGATTTGGATGATGGAAAACGCGGCCATCAACTAGTTTGGAGAATTGCAAGCGCTAGTTTAGATTGATATGGCCGCAGAAAGCTTTGCTTCAAACATCGTTATCATCTAAAGGTTCGACGATCTTCAGACAAAATAGAACTTGACACCAACTACCAGCACTTGCAACTCTGATGGCTACCCATCCGGGAAATGCCTGACCACCGTGATCGATCAGTGCGAATGAGGCCTTCATGGTGGCCAAAGAGATGCGAAAACGCTATGGCATGGGCTGCAGTCGCTTTGCCGCAAGGGGAGCATCTCAGATATCTCAGGGAATTCAGCGAAAACGTTGGGTACTTTGATGGCAAATTAGACAGTTGGCACCTTTGGATCAAACTTTGGATAAGCAGAATCGTTGGATATTGGATGATTGGTGTAATTCATGACACCAGCAGCATTCCCTGCGTTTAGACTTGGGGTCCGTCATCCGATTCGATACCCCAGAACTCCATAACCACCTACTCTTCAGAGTTAGGGAGTGGGAAGGAGTTCTGCCAGCTGACTGAGTAGAGTAGATGAGTCGATGCAACACACTCCATCATGGCCCTCCGCTGAGCTCACCAACAACCTGCAAAGAAAGAGAAAGAGAGAGGGAGAGGTTCATAGAGTCGCTTTGGAAGCCGCGGCACAGTTCCCTCCACTCTTCCTGTGTCAAGCCGCGGTACTGTGGCACAGTTCCCTCCACTCTTCCCTCCCTCACATTTTTGCCCAGATGCCCCACATGTTCTTTGTGCCCGTCCATATGGTTTTCCCACCCCAAGCCATCCTCTAAGCCCCCTAAAAGAGATCCAAGAAGGGATGCCACATCCAATGGGAGCGCTCCTTTTCACGTTACGGTTGTCGAGGTAAGATCCGTGCGGCGGTGTTGAAGACCAGTGTTGGTGTCAGTGGAGGTACCATCTACAGCCGCTGGGAACGCTGGGAGGAGAAGGTCATGGGCAGGAAATGGCAGGAATGCTCAAGAGCTTGGTTACCATTCTTTTGTTGTCTCATTGAGATAAGTCAGGCTGACCAGGTTTGACTCAAGGTTTGTGGGAGAGCGAGTGTAATCTATGGACATTTTTGAACATGGCCTTGACTCCTTGACACAGCTCAGGTGGCATTCATATGCTTACCACAGACCAAGAGCAGCCCGGCTCAGTGTGATTCAGAAGCAAACACCGCAAGACCTGTGCAGGTGAGTGAACTCTCTGGATTTTTTCCATGAGATTGCCCTGGATTTTGCAGAGTTGATAGACTCATAGCCATTTGTATACTTTTATATGTTTTGTCAATTTTGTTGGAGTACTTTGAACCCCTCTCAGCTTGCCAGATTTGAGTTCATTTTTGCGTTTGCAAAGAGATCACTCACGCCACAAGTCTTTAGCTAACTTTCAGCCACCCGTCAGTGGATGACTGCCCATTGCTGCCAATTCTTTGAAGGCCTTCACCAAAAAGAAAGGCCTCCAAGAGATGAGTCTCAGATTTCGCGCCTTCGTACCTGCAATCTTTGTTGACCATCACTGCCGAAGCTGCCCAGCTTCGCACCTCCTATTCAGATCACGTCTTCCTCGGCCGCCCTCCCCTACTCATCCCTGCAAGGAACGCTGAAGCTTGGAAGGACCCTTATGGCATGGAGCCCCCCGGCGGTTTGCGCGGCCCGGACCGCTGCGACGGGGGCGACACAAACCTGCCACGCTGGGATGAGCTGAACGAGCGCTGGGTGATGATGAGCCCGTGGCGAAGCAGCATGGTGGGGAAGGGGGATGTGCTCAATTCTCTGGGGTGTGTGTGGGTGTGGTTTGTATCTGTGGTGCATTTGTTGGTGGAGTTGAGGGTTGAGGGGAATTGGAACTTATGGAGGTTCCGGTGTGATCTGGGCCTAAGCTGGGTGATTGGAGGCAGGTTGGTAGTATGGTTTGGCTTGGGCATGCATGCAGGGGTATACATACATAATCCTGGTATCAATTGCATTTAGCGGTTTCAGATTTTGTACACCAAGGGGCGCCCCGCAGATCACTGAGATTTATAGATCTGCATCCAGGCTCTCGAACCCTAGTGTTCGCACTGTGCGGCGGAGCAACGCCCTGATGGGCTACGAGTACGGCCAAGGGCTAAGCCACTTGGCGGCGGTTGACCATGCATCTCTTTGGACAGGAACCCGGAAATTGACGGGTTGGCCGCGAAACCCGTGCGGTTCAACACTTGGCACTAGTGGTCAGCTAGATGTTTTTTAATCTGTGCACAACTAATGTGTGGTCAACTTTCTCCAGACCAACGATTTGGGACTTGCAATATTTCCCAACATTGATCGCTTTGCCATCCCCTGACCGGTGGTCAAGCTCCGAGTCCTGAAAGTTGTTTTGCACCGCTGGTACGGAGGCTATGGTGAAGGGATGGCAGTCCCAGGACCTGCCTCTTGGACATCGGAGCGGGGAGGGGCACCATGGTGGGATATGTGATGCGCCTTTTATTCTTATTGCGTTGGGTGCAGATGCGGGCAATGCATGTTTCTTTGTGCTACACGATGTGATCGAAAGAAACATAGCGAGGACCAGTCGCAACATATCGATTTGTCTATGCGTTTGGCTGAGCGAGTCGCATCAACAGAGAGGAGGACCTGTTTGTAATTTGCATTGAAGTTGGTGTCCTCGCAGCTCCCTTTCCTTGGCTGTTTTTGTTGGCATTGGAAGTGCTGGCAGATGAAGGAGATGCACTTCTGAGGAGTTTCAAAAGCCGACGTGTTTTTCACATGTATTCACTCATGGCCTAAACACTAATCAGAGAGGACACATAAATAACTCAACATCATGGTGATGATTATATCTATATGAAGATCATATGCGTGCCATTCCTCCAGCCACCAGTGGGCCACCCGGCCAGGTCCTGTTTCAGTTCCTTTAGAAGCACCGGTCCTCTCAGGTCAGTGGCTGGCTGGGCACAACTGCCATGGGCATGGTGGTTCTGAGCCTGGCACGCCACGGGGCTATGAATATGGCATCACCAACCCGGTTTGGATGGATCATGGGGGCCGAAAAAAGAAGCCAAGTGAGGTGAAGCAAGCAAAGGATTCTCGAAGCCGTTTGTTTGGCACACAAATTGGATTCTGCCATTGGTTTTCAGTGAGATCAAGCCTCATGGATTGAACCGCCATGCTTTTTGGAGGCTGTGACACCTGCCATGTGTGGGGGTTTTACCAAGGAGACTTGATAAAATATTAACAAGGAGACCCATAAATTGATCAGCTGGCTTTGGTTCGATATCTTCGTTGCAACCATAGCCATTGCCATCAGATGTAATTACTGTACCCTCCATCCCTCCTCAAAGACCTCGAATAGCATCAAATAATATCACCATGGGTTTCACGTGGTTTCACCAACTGTCTGCCTTTTGCCGAGTCTTCCCCACGCGCTGGGCCTTGCAACGCTGGGTGCTGCCGGCGCCGGGGCAGGGGCCTTCACGAAAGACTTTGGAGGCCGAACAGTGATAGATGCGAATCTTTGGTAATGGAGGGGCTGCGGATGTACACGGGCCCGCCCCCCTACACCCCCCAAACATGCAACCGCCAAACCGGTGCATATATTCAGGCTCGAGTGTTTTTAGAGAGGAAACCTTCAGAGCACTCCATCGTGAAGGTTTGTCCGACAAAAAGCGAGAGAAAAACTCCCCACTCTCATTTTCGAACCTCCACTAAGGGAGGGAAGGGGGAAGGGAGGGCCCTTCGAGCCCAATGCTACGGTGAAAGATGCTATGTGTTGTGTTTACTCATGAGGCCATATGAACAAACACAACCACTAGCGCTCTTTTCACGCGTTGCAGAGAGTTGGTCAAACTTTAAGAACGCATCATCTAGTTCTTTACCTCTCGGGGCCCCGACCCCCCGTTCACTCCGCCAAACCAGGAGAGACGGGAGCCCCCAGATGTGAAGAAGGTGGAGCGAAAAAAACCGCACCTAGTTGCTCAATGCTGGCTACATTCGGGGAGAATCAGTCCTGGGGACAGACAGTCGCGCAACTCCGTGGATTCACTACGAACCCAGACATACATACATACCTATCATTTTCCGGGTATGTATGTTTCCCCAGATACACATACCTTTGACATACATACATA